CTGATAGGTAACCTATGCGAACGTCATTTGAATGCATGTGAAACGTTTGCACATAAGATTCTGATCGACTTCGCACATCCGCTACACTCTGATCGAACTTCCTGCTGTTCGCATCCCTCAACTAGATCACAATATCGTTGTGCTCCCTCTAGAATAAACAATTATTGTAACTCCACAGCACCCTCATTAGCACGTATTCTTGTTAGCAAAGAACAGGTTTTTACAGACTTTGTTAACAGTTTTCGGATTTAAATCTCTTTCTTTCATTGTTATTTTCATTTTCCCCTTGCTCCAAATTGTATATTTTTTAACTGAAATGTGGGCTTCGTGCTTGCAGAAGTTATTACAATACAATACAATGCAATACAATACAATTTTAGCCCGAGGAATTTGTCAACAGCTTTGTTCGTCAAAACTGCAATATAAAAGCACTGTGTATGTTGTTGTGTCAAATACTTGCTCGCGTAACTCCTAATTACATGCTGAACACTTTTGGACCGATTGGTGATTTGAGCGAAACAGGGATTTTTCGCACACAGTCCATTCGAATGCATTTTTGATGCCAAATGTTCACCGACAAGCAAGTGGCAGAAGAAAGGATTCCAGTTTATTTGGCATAACTGACCTTCTTCAGCACATCTCAAGAAACGAAAACCATGAAGAAACAAATGAAGAATGATAACAAAAACAGAAGTGAAAATTGAAGGGCAGCGGCGCAAGACCGTCAGGCCGTAAGTCATAAGCGACACCTATGCACCGAACTGAGACCGCGCGTTTCGGCACAAACGAGCCAGTTCAGATTGTAGTATCTGTAGTCGGTAAATATGGAACGTTCTATATGAGGACAGAAGCTACATAGCAGTTAGCAGTATTCGGGATAATCGTTCGATCAGGTTGGCAATGGAGTCTAGACGTCCGACCTCCAGTGTTCGAGTGACCACCTCAACAGAATGCTAATACGGGGAAGTTACTGCTCAAATCTTGATAGTCTTCCAGATTTCTTTTTAAATACAATCTTGATTGATTGATTGATTTGAACTGACCATCGTTCAGGCTTCATCTTCACGCCCATTCCTCAGCTCTTTCAGTCAACCATACACTCGGAAGAACTAGACTCGGTTCAGACCTGGCATGAGCTGGTTGGCAGTGGTAACGCACACGCCTTCCATGTGATGGGTCCGGACTTCAAATCCCGGACAGGACGGTGGATATGCACTGCTGATGAGCTCTAATATGAGCAAAACTCGAGTCTAGTGCTTCCGAGTGTATGATTTACTGGAATATCTGAGGAATGGGAGTGAAGGTGAAGTCTGAAAGATAGTCAGTTCTAATCAATCAATCAATAACTATTATGCCACAACACTACTCACAAGTAATTGTGAGTTAAATGCGAAATACAATATTCATGCAACTCCCAGCTGAAAACGGAGCCAAAGCGGTATCGGTGTATGGTAAAACGAGAACTTCCTATTTGCCTGTAGTTTTCGATTGTTACAAAACACGCTATTATGATGAGCTGGCAATTTTCTTTCAATGGTTTCAACCAATTGCTTAAATGGCGATACAAAATTGATAGTTGGGTGCTACTACACACACGGATCTCTTTTCCAAACTACGGGATTGCTATTTTGAGCACGAATTTCCTGTCTGGGCAAAGTGAACCACTTTGCGCTGGAGAGTTATTTAGAGGTCGATCATCAAAACTCAGTCAATGCATTACCCCTGAACATGGGAGATCTTGTGTGTGTGTGAATGCACTAACCTGTCTTTCCTTGTACTTGCGCTTGCGGGATTTTTCTGCAGTAGATGGTGGTTCCTCTGGATCCTCTGCACCTGACGATGCTGAACTGTCCCCAAACTCATCGTCCATTGCCTCGGGCAAGACACGTCGACGAACTTTCTTGGTTTTCGAACCCGCCTGTGATCGTTTTTGTGCATTCACGAGAGAATGTTTGGAAACTTTCTTTTCCACTGGCCCCAACTCGTATTGTTCATCGGCTTCGTCCATTTCGACATCGCTCCCTTGATTCAAATCGAACACTTCTTCTTCTTCCTCCTCCTGCTCCTCTTCAGTCTCAGCATTATCGTCTCGACAGTCCCTGTTTGTCTTTGAGGGATCTTTCTGGTGTTTTCCAGTCATCTGAGTGCCCGATGGCTCATCGTCGGATTCGATTGGACGGGAGGGATCCATGCCAATCGCACTGAGCAATGCGGCACGCAGATCCTCGGGAGCCATCTTTTTTGGTCGGTGTCGATGAATCCGAGGCACGGTTGGAGCTGGGGGCTCCTCGTCTACATCTGAGCTGGCTGCCGTACTAGCACCGCTTGATGAAAGAACCACGTATTTCTCCAACTGTTTCATTCAACCGAGAGAGAGAGAGTCGGGAAAGAACGTGTGAACGGAAAAAGCGGATCAGAAAACAAAGTAAATGAAACAAAGATATTACATGCTAGATGGAAAAGATCAGATGAACAAATGTGCATCAAAAAATGGGAACAAAGTTGTGCCACTCAAAGATTTTTGTTCCCGTCGCACTGAATTAAATGACGGATCAGCTAGAGTATTATCCCCACCACTTATCTTGTTTTATCCCTGTCGATCACTCCACTCACAAGGTCAT